ATCCTACACATCAGAGGCTGGAGCCTAGAGGATTTCCAGGAAAAACTGGGATCGCAGGTAGACATTAAGCTTTATTTGCACAGTGTCACTTTTGGGTACTTCCATGGTCATTCCTATGAATCATGTGCTGATTGTAACTTGGTTCCTCCTAGCACAACTCTCTCTGCCCAGCCTTGCCCAGAGGCAAGCTGAGTGACTGAGAAATAATGACAGTGGTGAAAGAGGAAGGGGGGAAGAGGAAGGAAATTTGGGTTGCACAAGTAGAATGAATGGAAAGGGGCAAACACACCATGGTATAGGTGAACAGCCTGGAGATAGGGAAATCTGAAATGGAGGGGTTGGGCGACAGGAGAGTGGTCCACAGGGCGGCTGTGGGAAGAGGGGGATTGGAGGAGGATGTATAGTCCCTGCAGCAGTGCAGGCACAAGCCTGGCTCTTGAGGCTCTTGGGGCTTGGTTTTCAGTCAGCAGCTGGAGTTACACCATTTGACACCTGCGTAGCCTCCAGAGGGGACTGGGGTGGATCTTGCCAACCCTGCTGCTGGCCTCCCGCCTCCCAACAGCCTCCCTCTGTCCTGCTCTGAGAGGCAAGCCATGCTGGTCCTGCCAGCCAGATACCAGTAACTACTCACCGGCCAGCTCCAGTTCCTGGGGACCAGCTGAAAAATCCTGTTTCTGGAGTCACAGCTGTGCCACGTGCCGCTGAGCCACTGCTCTGCTCTGTCTTGGAGAGGGACACGCTTCACACACTGACAGTAATACTCTTTCAGATGAAAATGAGGTTTACAAGAGGGAAGAAGTTATTTCATAATTAACTCGAGGTGCCTGAACCCAAGATGAGGAACACTTTTTAACCAGCAGCCAGATGGTTCTACAGGCTCCGTTTGTTAAACCGTCTATCAGCTTTTCATCCCAGAGACTGGCAGTCAAACAGCAGGCCCTGGAAAGTATCTTACCATCTCTCCAGCAGGGTTTTTTGTATAGAGGTCTTGCTGGTGGGTTTGCAAACTTTATGTAAGTAGCTTCATTTACTACAACAAGACTTGCTTCACTAAGGGAATATAGGACAGAGCCTTTTGTTTTGCATGGGAGGCACCTCTCTAGGGTTGCAGTATTAAGCTTTCCTTCCCTTTCTTACCTAAAAGAAAATTAAAAACTAATCACTCCTTAAAAAGAAACATCAGTTAAAAGATTTTCTTTGAGCCCCCTTGTGTCTGTTACAGACACAACTTTCCAGATCTTATTTGCTCTTTGGCATTTATGCTTTTGTTACAAGCTTTCTCACAGCAGCACAGATAGCTGTTTTCCTTCACCTACTGGTGCTAGAAACCTATTCAAGAGAAACTGCTGAAGACTTCCCGTTCTGTGGCTCAGTCCTGGCATGAAAACGCACATAGCACTGCAATCGTGCTCAGGCCATCAGCAATGAAGGATAAATGCAGCCATCCACCACTCCAACTTACACAAAATTATTTTTTTTCTTAGAGGAGAATCATAGAAACAAGCATCTGCTGCTCTGCACAGAAACTGATGCGTCTGAGAATGCTGACTTCAGACATGAAGCATTCGTCGCAACACTCGGTGTCAATTCCAGAAGCTCCAGATTTTAAGGCCCACAGGAATCCTCTCTCCCCACCTCCTGCATGGCACAAGCCAGAAAATTCTCCCCATGATTCCTGCATCTGAGCCCAAAGCACCTGCACAGTCATATCTTCTCACTGCATCGAAGGAGTCGCCCACTTACTCTGATGGTTAACCATCCCTTTATCATTATGAATCATTTTAACATCAAATTGTCATGGGATGCTACTCTGTGTTGGCCTGCCACACTGAAGAGCCATCAAGTTCCATGTTTACTCCAATGAAAGTAACTCACTTTGATCATCATCTTACTACCAGATAGCTCAATTCTTCTCTCGTGTGGGCCTCTGATGCTTTTTCAAACAAAATGGATACTATAATGGGCTTGTTTTGTTCTGTTTTTTTATAGAAACACTTTATTGCTGCAGTCAATAACCCTGTGTATCACACACAACCAATTACAGTTTAAGAAACTAAAAATAATTCTGCAAGTGGTAATACTGAGAAAACGAACATACATGAAAGGATACAAAACTATACATTTAAGTTACTAGAAATTTACTAACTAAAAAATTCTGCAGAAGTGTGAAGTGTCTTGTATAAACTATACAACACATGCCAGTGTAAAGTTGTTTAACATTATACAATCACCTATCTACAAATGTTTTACCTCAATACAAGATCAGCTGCAATTTTTAAACAGTTATCTTCTATACAAAGACAAGTGCTTTCAGTACTTCATTGGAATATACAGACACTGCAATACCTCAAAACTAAAAAGTAATCACAAAATAAAAGGTCCCGCTTAGAAGTTTTCTTTGCATATCTAGTATAACGCTGTGAAAATCCAGCCAGCAATACCCTTGCTTTTGTATTTGCCCTGTTTCACCCCCGTTTGTGAGGGATCCCACCCAGAGTCACCGACCTCCCTTTCATTGCTGGCCACAATCTCCACAGCAGACTACACCAGAAATCTGTATCTTAACACACTTCAGCTTTAGGAGAAATTTGGACCCGGGTCCCACTTTGTTATAGATACTTACCCAGCCAAACACAGGGCAGAAGCAACCGGCTCCCATGTGTGGCCATATCCACGCATCACTTCAAAGGTTTCTGAAGAGTGGCACGCCAAGCAGATCCCTTCCTTACAGCACCGCCACAAGTGGGATTGATGCCCTGATCAGTACAGGGCATGGGCAGAAGTGGGCTTGGACAGGGAGTTACTATTGCTTCCCAGGATTTCCCAGGTACAGCCCAGCAGCCCAGCACTTCTCTAACCACTTGCAGGCTCAGTGTAACCTTTGTTGAATCCCTCCTGCTGAAGCAAAGCCAAATCTCAATGACATTCAACCAGAGGAAGCTGTCCCCAGGTCTGGCCATCTCTTCAGAACACAGGGCAACATTTTAAACACTGTCCCTGCTCTCAAAATACAGGGTTACAGTTGAAGAAAGTCCTGAGAATTCATAGGAATTCAAGGTCTCACGATCTCTTAAATGGGATCAACCTTCTGCAGCACACACCTGTATTTCTAACATAATGCATGTTCATGACCTGGCAGATATACCAAATATGACATGGCGGGCAAATTTCCTTGGCACAGCTGGCACTTTTTGGACAGGATTTAAGTCAATAGAACAGGAGTCTGGTCATATGTCTAGGGCATGGGACATGTCAGCAAAGGCTCTGGCAATCTAGGGAAGGGATCGCAGTAGACGGTATTAAGCCTATATTCCCTCCTACTTAAATTCTGGTCTCAGAAAAGTCCCAGGTAACCTGAACTAACTTTGGCCAAGGAACAAGGACCAAAAAAAGTCAGACTTCTCTTTCAGTCATTTCAAAAGCTGCCAGAAGGAAGCGTTGGAAAGCCTGACCTGACAGGGGGTGGTTGTTCCCCTTACTGATATCTGGTCAGGAAGGACAGAGCTCACCTGAGCTCATCAGTGCCTCGCAGCTGGAAGCTGAAAACAAGTCAACAGTATCTCCTTGAGGAGAAAGAAGGAAAAAGCACCATTCAGTCTTCTCACACCATTCGATGGCACCATGCAGAAGCAGAGAACTGCAGCTTCAGAAGCCCACTGTTAACACCAAGCAAGAATCAGCGTGACAAGTGTGACCAGCATAAATGAAAAACCCTGACAGATGGATCTCTTCTGCAGCCCTTCCTGGTATGAGCATTCCTAAGCAGTATAAAGAGTTTAAATATTAGGCTTTAATTTTCATTCAGAAAAGACCTGCTGGGAGACAGAATGGTTAGCAGCAACACTGGCTAAAACAGTTTCATCCGCAAATATTTTTCCCCAGATGATTTTGCTGGAGATGATTTTTCTTCCCAAGTTAAGACACACAGGATACCGAAGGATTTTGCTGTTCCCCTGAATACACTGAACACTACCTGGCATGTGCCACATGGAGCTTCCAAAACACCAAATGAGATTTCACAATGTTTCACCAAGAATCAGGTATGACAGCGATTGAAACAGGACCAGCATGTTACAGTATGCCATATCGGCACTTGTCAGATCATCAGTCAGTGCCTCTCAGGCATGAGCTGGAGAACAAGCAGGTTTCATACCAGAACTTGTCCATTTTCATTTCACCTACTGGCCACAGATCGGATGAGAATGTGCACAGCATCAGTCGGCAGCTGATTCTGTGCATCTTGCAGCTGTAACGTGAGCATCTTGCAGACATGTAAGCCTCGTGCACTTGGGCATTTCAGAATGATGAAGGTGTGCAAGACCTGATATTTAACCCACCTGAGTTTTTCTAGTAAATCTTTTCACAGAACAAAACAGAAAACAAAACAAGACAGTGTATTACCTGGGTTCTCTAATAGAGGATCACCCACAGCGAAGTTCAGGAAAGGGCCCAAGTAATTGCACTTTAAATTATGGCAGGCATAGGCAACAAATTCTACGTGCGTATGGTCATGAAGACTGCTGCCCCGATACTAGCAGGGTATGCAGGGTTTGTCTGCCTGTATCATGTAAGCATGGGACATCCTGACACCCAGCACAGTACACAGACCCATGCCAGCGCAGCTTTGCTAGGACTGCCTAGAAGTCCGAGTATTTTAAAACATCTCAAGAACAAGGTACCATGTTGTTCATGAAAATCACAGCCAGTAAGCTTCAAGCGTGAGATCACGCAGAGGCATGCATGCACACACACGCTTTTCCTCTAACAGCTCTTAGAAACCACTGGTGTGTGTTCTCTTACCATAGTCCCTTCTCTGCCTTCTTTTAAAATATTTAGAAATAAATTAGTATTACATTCTAAGGAAAAAAAATCACCGATCTCTTACTGTTATTCTTTGGGAAGTCTTAAAGCAACTACTTTTATTATGAAAAGAACTTGCCCAATGAAAGTTGTACTTGAAAAAGACTAAGTAAAACCTGAACCGGAGATGGGGATTTAGTTCAGTATGTCAACAAGTAAACAGAAGCTTTTACCTAACTGTGAAGTCCAGACAACTCCTACTAAGACCTACCAGAAGATTATCATTGACTTTACAGAGATTTAGATAGGGCTCAGGTAGGGAAAGTCAGCTTTCAAATGCAGAGGCCTCGTGTGCTGACTTTTTGTGAGGCTTTGTTTCTGCTCCAGTCACACTGAGACTTTGGTTAAATGAGGGCTTGAAGCTGGACAGTGGTTCAGCGAAGCAGATTGGTCAAGTGAATTAACAGCAAACACCCCAGGCTTTGGGCAACTCCGTCTAAAGCCCTGCAAACAGATTTTAGAGCTGCCCCTCTCTTTTCATTAAGGCTGACTGATTAAAAATCAGTCCCAAATTCAAAAGCACAGACAAAACTATGCTCTGACCACGTAATGCATCACATCAGGACTAAAACCAGGCAGGTATTTTTAAACTCATCCACTTAATGCAATATTTACTTCCTAGACTTTGATCTCAGCAGCTCCTCTGACAATGTCAAATTCTTGGGTAATTCACACATGACACAGCACTAAAGAAGGAAAACCAATTTCAGCTGTATTGACTAAGTATCTTTTTTTCCATAACAGCTCACATTTTTACCAGTATAGCAACAAACCCTTTGCCAATGGTTTGGAATGAAAGTTACATCAGGTATATATGTGCAGGTGTGTTGATGGTCTGACCTATTGAAAAAAATAAACAAAACCAATCCCCAAAACAGAGCACTGAAACCATTAAGCACTGAAAACGAACACTGTACACATCCACTACTCCCCATACACAAGTCACAAGTGCAATATCCTTTGAAAAAAATTGCTCCTCAAAGGAAACCCAAAGAGGCAGAGTTTTTTAGTGTTATGTTTAGTAAGATAATGTGGGCATGTGTTGCAAATCACAGGTTGGAATTTTTTTTTCTTTTTTTTTTTTTTTTTTTTAATAATAAGGCAAGGAGGTTTATGTTCCAGAAGAACAGATGGGGTAAAGAATGAAGAAATGTTTCAAAAATGACACATTCTTTCAAGTTTCATTCTCATTTGACATACATATTACAAAATAAAGATTTTTAAAAGTGCTATATGCTTTGTAATTCTCATCACAATATGTAAAGCAAAATTTTACACCTGCTGCCTAAGACAAAATGTTAGTGGCAGTGTCAGCGGTGGATTAGACTCTAGCTCTCTCATTTCCCTCAATGTCTGGGACAACCTCCTTCATCACGCTTAAAGAACAAACAAACCGCACTCTACACATATTCCAGAATCATTTAGAGTCATCTTCTAAAGTAACAGACTCCATGAAGTTGATGACGGTTCACTAGCGGATTTCTTGATACCAAACCCAAGGCCCATTCTACCCAGTATCCTGTGGCCCTTTGATCAGCTACTATGAGAGACAAAACGTTGAGAGGTATGCAACCGTGATGACATTGACAGATATGCCAAAGGGATTTAAAAAAATTCCAACAAAAAACAAATGTAAAAAAATTCATCCGCCAGCCCTCAGCTGTTAGCCGATTTTAAAAAGGTAGAGTAGTTTGCAGTAAACAATGATATTTTAGATCTTCAAGGACATACAGAAACACCCCTCCCACCCAGCAATCAGACGTGAAGGATTTCTGCAGCACAGTCTTCTGGCTCTGTGTAATGTGAAGAGTTTGTGTCTGAATGGTGAACTCCAAGCATTTCTTTACTTTCGAAGTTTGGCTCCATTAGTGCAGGTTTTTCAAAAATATTCTTTTTGCTAGTTTCCGGACAGTTTTGTACATATATTACTCGGTTATAAGCTTTAAGTCTCTTCCACAGCTGTATGTACACTTTGCATTGCACATACATGAACAGAAGTCCTCCAGTGAAACCAATAGCCACAACCACCAGCTTAGTCCAAAATGGCCACTCTAGAATCCCTGGAAGAAAGAAAATAAAAAAAGAAGAAAGAAAAAGGACCTGGTCAATATTGGCTGGACTACATTGGATCTCTCAAAAACATCTTGCAAGGAAACTGTCACAGAGTTTGGGCCATGCAAACTATTCTTATTTTGCCATTTTTCTTGTTTGGCCTTTTTTTTCCCCTTCAAGTCAAACACATGCAGACTTCTACTTCACATACCAGATTTATTCTCACCCACCAGAGGAAAACCAAAACAATTGATTCTCTGTGTCTGAGCCCTCGTACACCACAATCACAAACAGAGTCAAGGCAACAGCCATGAGTAAGTTTAGGCCCTTTTACACCTGTTTTTAAACAAAAATTGGATCAGATTATGAAAGGGATTCTATGGCATGGTTTCCTCTTCGTAGCAGGAGACTCAACTCAGTGACCCAAGAAGTATGTTCCACTCTGTGATCACACAGTACATGGAGTCATAGTCTTTAAACTCAAAAGGAAACGATTGTTACCATCTAGCTTGACAAGTTTGTTATGCAGACCAGACAATTTTATCTGCATCAGACCCAGTAACTTGTAGTTGATCTAGAGCATCTCTGATGATGCAAAACTGCAAGTGTTGGAGATACTGAAGCATTCTGGCAAGCTTACCCTCTGTCATTAAAAATGACCACCATTACTTTTCCTGAATTTGTCTAGCTTGAACTTTTAGACATTGGATCTTGCTACATCTCTATCAATTACTTTTAAATGAGAGACTATTCATTTTATACATATTCTGCTTACATAGGTCCTGTATCCACCCAGCCCCTCTCCTCTTTAAAGATAAGCAGCATCACAAGATGGGTATGAAACCATGCTGAATCACCCACTATCAGGTTTCTCAGGGAATAAAATCATGGCCTTCCAAATCCTCAAAGTTTTTACCAAGATACAGGCCAGTGTTCTTTTGGAAATGCATGGTAGCATGGGAGGAATGAAACTATTTTAGTCCCAAAATACAAAGGGCACTGCAGCGTGACTACTGATGAAATCCCACGTGTGATTAATACCTGAACCTCTGATTCACAGGTGAGCTCTCTGATGTCATCTGTAGGCAGTGACAGTATATGCTTGCCCCTGTGCAGATATGAATGTATACCCACCCACACTCCCCACACCCCCCAGCTCATTACAGCACTCCCCAGATTTAGAATCCAAATGGAGGGAGCAAAGAAGGCACTAAAACATGTACTAAATATTCACTATTCCTCCTGTTCATGTTCATCTAATATATTTATTGGCTAAAATAACCTGGAGATGATAGATCTTTGAAAGCATATGCTTTTCATTATCATATGGAAACCTTACACTGAAAGGCCAACAATTTTCACCGTACATGGAAGAGATGGGGTTGGATAGAACAGAAACTAAAAGATTTCATACAAAGCAGCTTCCTGACTGAAGTCATGAACAATCAAACTACAGCCCAAATGAGAAATGACAGCAAAACTGTTCAGTTTGAAGTGTGATTCTGCTCTGAAGAGACTTTAACAGCTCTGTGGATTTGCAGGTTTATTGATGCTCAGCTACCTCCCCAGATGATGCTCTTCAGTCACCAGCAAAACATTTTCCACCTGTATGTCTAGTTGGCATGCAATGCTCTGTGAGCAAGGACAGCTTGCCTTCTAATGGCTCCCAGCCTTGGTAGATACCCCATCCCTTCTATCCCCACCTTCAGGGACAGCTCAGCTGCCTGAGAAACAGTACTGTGACAGCTGCAAATTTGCAGGCCAGCATACCCAGGTAACAGATTTCAGTTTGGTAAGTTTACAGCTGGCATACTAAAGAAAACGTACTATTCAAGAAGTTAAGATGGCCCTGCAGTGGGGTGGCAGCCACTACATGAATTGCAGTGCACCTCATCTCAGTTGTGTGAATCGGAGTCCTAAGAATCAGCCTGAATTTCTTATGCTTCAGGCACAACTGGTTATAAAAATTTCTCCAGTCCAACATGGCTTTCACAGGAAACTTGTGCTAACCCGCCTCACAGATGACCAAATAGAAAGAAAACCCTGCTGATTTACCTCAAAGATTTGGATTTGGGTTCCTCTTACTTCTTCTCTTTTTAAAAACTGTTCTGCTTTTGCCCAGTTAAAACATAGCAAACAAATGCTTACGTCCTTACCTGCTCAGTAAGTGTTCCAATTCAAAACTAAATTAGCTAAGGCAGTGCAATTTTGTGTCTGGCTACAGTGGATTAGCTCTCATATCTGTGCAGTTCACAAGTGAAAATTAAATTGACTTGAAATAGACTTAAAAAGCACCCACAGATGAATTTACACTGATTTAACTAAATAATTTTAGAACTGTGCTTTTAAACCAACCCAACCTCAGACTAAAGCAGACTAGTCTTAAGTATAAACATTACCTGCACACTCATGCTCTGCATCCTCTCTGCATTCAGGATAAATAATTATTCCAAGAGAATAAGTGGGAAGATAAGCAAGTAACATACCAGTAGTCTGTCCCTGTTTAATCTCTTCAGCGGTCCTGTCGATCAGGACATAGAGAGACCACACAACGCAGGTGATGGCAATGATATGGAATGTTACAGAGCACATGATCTTCCTCCTCTCGCTGGACGTCATCTGTAGCTTCTCCCACTGCCAAGAAAGCCAGAAACAGAGCAACAGATTAGGTGTTTATTGCAGTAACTAGAGAGCATAAAAAGAGAACATTGATAAGAACAAAAACCAGGCAGGAGACCAGTTTCCTCCTAACATGGATTTTAAAAGTCGGACGGCATTATTGCTCTGACCACAGCATATGTGCGATGGCTGGCAGCTCACCCTGCTGTGATGGGAGCCATACTGGTGCTGGAGGGGACCTCCAGCACTCAGCTCTGATCCGGAGCCTCAGCACAATGTCATCGCTTACCCACGCAGGGGCAACTCCAGCACGGAGGGACCCTAACGCGAGGCCTTGTGCAGCGCAAGCAAGGCTGCTCCCTTGTGTGTTCTCCACTCAACAGCGGGTACCCATAGTCACAGCTGAGCATCGTGAGTGGCAAAGGGTACCCTTGCTCAGGCAGGCATTCAATAAAACACTGCAATAAAAGTGGTACGTGATCCAATTGACCAGTGCGCGTTAAGACATCTCACGCTGAGCTCTGCTGGAGTTCCTCGGTGCACAGTCAAGGCTGTTTAGCTCTCAGCTCAAGGCTGTTTAGTTCTCACCTCCTACCTCTGGGGGTTTCATTCAATCTTCACATATATTTAACACTACTTACAGCAGTGACACCCATATTTTATTTTCAGTGTTTCACGTGCACTTAAATACATGTGCCCTAAGAATATATAGTAGAACTGGGATGACAGCTTTTGTAAGTGAGAGGACGCAGCAAATTAAATCCCCAGACCTGCATCTATCGTTTATAAAGCCCAAACAGAAACCACAAAGTCAGGTTGCTGTCATTTAGGAAAGATACAAAGAAACTAGACAATTATTATAGATGCTTCTAATATACAAGGAATTGTTCAAAACCAGCTTTTATTTTTTTTTTTTTACCTGAGACACCCAGAAGCTTTCTTTTTAATTATTTTTTTGGCAATCTCCCCTACATATATGATGAAAGTTTTTGCATGTGGAATACACATCCCTCAGCATATCTGCTTGGAACAGAGAGTTAAGATGGGCTTTTCTCACACTTTCACAAAATATATGCTGGGGCATGTAAGCTTCTCATACACACCCATGTGTTTCTAGAGATGTGCATTTGATGTCTCCTAGAATAACTTGTAGAAAAAGAGGACTTTGAAAAGGAGGAATAATGTGGAAGAGAGTGAGGATGACCTGACTAGTATGATTGAGATCACCCATTATGTTGAATTATTGTTTCCACTGCTACAAATACAAGAATGGTTGAACCCTGAAACAGAGACTTTGTGATCCTCTCTGTCTTGTCAACAATCTCTTTGGCCAGTCCAAGCCACATCTCCAGTGCTGGGGATCCAAATCTCATTGTGGCACAAGAATTGAAGACTTCCAGCAATGACATGCTAGATTCATGTCATGCTAGAAAGCTATATTCTTTCAATTGTCTTAAAAAAGATTGGACAAAACATTCCCTTTGGATGTGGTATTTTAAACAGAAAATTGCTTTTGCATCTAAACAAAAGGTGTTTACTTTTGATAGAAAGTATACATTAATTAATTTATTTTGCCAAAAAGTAAGCCTGTGAAAACTATTTGTGAATGCTTTTACAGAGCCACAAGGACTTGTGTTTTGACTAATTTATATTTCTCTTTTCTGTTCTGCAGCTTGAGCTCCTCCGCTGGACAATACCTCCTGTGAACTGCTGGCTCCACAGCCACCAAACCAACCCGCACCATCTTCAAGAGATATGACTGCACAGCAAAAGAGAAGATATTCTGCAAACTATGCACCAGCCCAGAGAGGAAACTAGAATATGTAGGTCCCTGCTGCATTATTCCGATGACACAGCATGCGGCATTTCCCAGTTAAAATAGTCAGCAGTTCTGTTTTTCTGAAGTGTTGTTAAAACAAAAAATTCAGCAGAAAATTTAGATCTAACATCTTTTTTTCCATTGAAATTTTAAAATGAAGCATCCCTCTCTTGTCTCCCCTCATCTTCACTTGAACCGTGACACGTTTTGTTTCTCATTCTCTTCCCTTAGTAACTTAGTGTTTGAACAGCCCAATGCTGCGATACAACCTTAAGATGCTGAGGAAGTTTAATTCCATTTCTACCCCACAGACAAGCACAAGCCCTATTATTTGTCCCATCCTGTTCATAACCACCAGTTCCAGACTGTTTTCTCCTGACTGACAGGATACCATAAAGGCTGAGTTGAAGATACGGAGGCAGCTTATCTTCTGGCTGCAGCTGAACCTCTAAACAGGCTCTTTAGATATATTTGAGAAGTAAATTCCTTCTTCTCCTTCTGTTTATGGCTCTGCCCCTACCTTCTGGCATCTGGTCTCTTTCCCACAGATGACCTGTTCAGATATAACTAATGGTGCTGAGTGAGTCATTTCTGAAGGTGCCCAACAGCTTTTTCTCACAGGGCACAAATGTTCAGAAAATATTTCCCACCCACTCCAGGGCACAGAAAAAACAGCAGCCAATTGCCAACTATAGCAACTCTTTTTACTTGGGATTCTCTAGAATAATTTCTTTAATGTCCTATGGCTGGGCTGTGCAAAGTGTTGTCTGTGCAGATAACAGAGCCTATGACGGCCAATATTGCAGCTCAGAGGTATTACACTGTGCCAAGGGGCTACCAAGGAAAAATCTGCAGTTCTTAGAAGGCAACGATTCACCGCAGTCATAAGCGGAGGTCATCCTATCAACCGATCATGCTAAGCTATATACTTTGCAGACTGTACATCTCCGTAAAAAAAAAAAAGAGGTGTTTGAAATCTGCTCTATTTTCTGCTAGGAGTCACTTTTAGGAATTGGACAAGTTCTCGTAACAGCTTTCGGATGGCTGCAGTCCAGACTTCCCACCCTACGTGATTTAGGCTCATCATAACTGAATTTAATGTTTCTCATTTATTCTAGTTCCAGACTGAGGTTATTGTTATTAACCTCTTCCACTTTGGTAGACGTGGCAAGATTTGTCTGTGCTAAGAATACCAGTGACTTCCACCTCAAAATCCTGATGGTAAGGACCAATTGAAATGGAAAGCCTGGAGGATGTGGGAGAACAAAAAGGATACAAGCGCAAAACTGGCCTTACAATACAAGTAGCATTTAAGTACCTGTGTCTTGTCCAGTACCTATACTTTAAATCACCAGATTTATGAAAGGTACTTCTCTATAAAACAAAAATACAGGTTCTAGCAACCTGAAGTACTAAAACCTAGTCATTCACAGTCTAAGAAAAGGTAAAAATGAAAACATTATTATTGGTGAACCTTCTTCTACTTACACTGTAATATTTTCACTAAAATAGGTTTGCTCCTTTAAAAAGAAAAAAAGCTACAAATTTTAACCAAATTACACTCAGGAAGCATGATTTAAAGTAAATTTAACCTGAAAACCTCTTATTTTCAAGAGAACTTAAAAGCCATGTGGATCTCGGAGCAGCAAACTAAAGCAGATAACAGTAATACAAAACTCTGTATTTAAAAAAAATGTGGATAACCACAAATACCTTTGTGCATCAGCTTATAAATATAACTGTAAAGAAAAAAATCAGGTTGCTGCATGCACATATGTATATGTGTGTGTATGCATGTACATTTACACACAGAGAGCTGCCAGGCTACGATAGCTAACTCTCAGAGCTGGATTCCTCTGATGTTGAATTTGCCAGGCTGAGCGTTAATTTAAATCCTTTTGCACCTATACAAAACTGACCAGACTTACTAAGGAGCCACAGAAACATGATAAACACGTGGGGGGTGCTGCAGGCTCACGGGCAAGGACAGCCTCTTTTCAGAGTGGATCTGTGTTTCACAAAGCATTTCCTCGGGGAAGCAGGTCTTGTGCCTACCTTTCGCAAAGGCTTCAGTTTTGTCTCCATGATGAACTCATACTTGCACAGTTCACAGCATCGTGTATCTGAGCTCTTGATCCATTGCTGCAGGCAGGCTTGGTGCACAAAATGAAGACTTCCCGTGCAGTGACAGGGGGTAATCAAAGGGCTCTCATCATCTCCTTCACAGTGACATATCCTGAATCAGAAGCAAAGCTGCTCATTAGGAGAAGAGGAAGCAGAAAGGATGTGGAAGAGGCATGTAATATCTGTGATCGCACACGGCTGTCCATAGAGGATCCTGAGACAGACATATCAAAGGAATGTGTTCCATAAAGGAGCTAAAACTAAAGAACTCCAATGCTGCACAAACATACACAGGCACAAAATAATTGAGCACAGACACTGCTAACTAGACAGCTGCTTTCTAACAGATGAGGCGGACACACAGAGCCTGACAGAAATGCAGTATCCAAAAGAAAAACAGGGTAAGAAATGACAACACTTCATCTAGAACAATAGCACTTAAATGAAAATAGCATTTAAATAGATGAGACAGCACTTCCCAAGACAAAATATGCACAAAGACGTACAGCTACTCATGGATTACGATCTGAAACAGAAGATAAAACAAAATTCCCAAACCAATGGTGAAACAGCCCACCCCAGTATCATGAAGAGTTAATTTAGACAGCCTGGATTTTGCACAAGAGAAGTGATTATTTCTAGTGCCAATTGCTAAGAAACAGATCCACACTGCAAAGCTACAGCACTGAATCTCCCCAAAATAAACCTACTCTAAACGGACTAATGGTTTTGCTCTCCAATTCTTACTTTGCAAGAGCTGCTAAGGAAGCATCAGCTCTGCAAAATTCCCCATTTCCCTCACAGCCTAACTGTGCAGACAGCAAGGACACCCGATATAGCGTTACTACCAGGTGCTGGCATTTGATTTCCAGCTTCGATTTATACACAACCCTGGGGTTGCATCAAACATCACTAAGTCCTTCTAACCATGTGGAAGAGGTCATGAATTGAAAGGGGGATGGTACGGAGCTCAGGGAATGAATGTAAGTTACTAAGCATATGTGAAGTACATCCTGGCATGCTGCCATCCCTGTCTATTACTGAAATCTCTTACTGATGTGTAGCATCTTGCCTCTTGCGACCTTGCTGATAGCTGGCAAGCGGAAATGAAGGAGTGGGTGGATTACAACAGCGTCTGGTTGATGACAAGCCAGTACGGAACTAGATTTTGCTGGTAATGAGGGGGGAAATCAAATAATATTGGCAAGTAGTAACAAAGCCAGCTTCAGAAAGTGCTGTCAGGGAGGAGAAAGATTAGTATAGCAAAATGCTAGGTAGAGGGATGGGATATTTGCTCCTGTACTTGGTGACTCCTGCTCCTCAACCACATTTTGGAGCTGGGATGGGGCAGACCTGCAGACAAGTCACCATGAAGACAGTCCAGAGCTGGCTGTTCTCACCACCTGTGCACACGATTAATCCTCTGTAGTTGGAACAAGGACACCCATTGTTTTTGGGCCTCACACTATGGACATCACACAGGCCCACCACTAACACCCAGTGCTCAGGTCCCCCTTTTGACTAAGGCATCCAAGAAAGCCAAAATAAAAGAGTGTGGTGGGATACAAACTGTGAGGGAAAGATGAAAAAAAAGAGTAATCTTAAGCTACATTGACCTGATCTCAGCAGCAATTTTCAAACAGTCTGTTTTCCTCCTGACTTCCCACCCTCTGACCAAACCATCAGTGACTGTCAGGACAACACATTGCTCCTTAAAAGCTAAGACATGTTCAGCTTGGCCTTTAGTATGTGTAGCTGATTCTCTCATGATATTCCCAGTTTGGGCACTGATAAGAGAAAAATACAGTCTCAGAACCCCAAACCTGAAACAAATTACAAGAGAATTTATTTGACTCCAGAGGAAATTCTTTTGCTTAGTAGCCTTGTTAAGTGCATCAGAGGGGTGCATGACAGCAGAGAGAAGGCTGCATGCTTCAAAGTGCACATATTAAAGCAAGGTGACAGAGTGAAAGAAAAGACAGAAACAGCACAAAGGCAGGACAAAGCAGAACGGTCATGACTGCACATGGGAGGGCTCGAAGGTAGGCGGTTCTCTGGTAAACCAACCTGCAGGTATCCCCCGATGTGGACACAGGGGAGAGAGGGGGGAATTTTTCTGACAGGGGGGAAGGGCAGTCAAGGTCACTGTCCTTCTCAACTGAACAGAGCGGCGCCCGCTGCTCTTTTGTTTTCAATTTCACCGAGGTGCTGTCCTCAAAGACGTCATCGTCTCCCATATCATCAGAGCAGAAGTCTGTGCTTTCCACCAGCACGCTGGAGGATTTCTCAGCTTGGAAGTAACTGGAATAGCTCTCCAGTTCGTGGAACTTATGCAGGCTGCTGGTGCTGGAGGTGTGGGAGAAGGAAAAGAGGTAACGCAACAGTTTTTTGCTCCTTGAGTTGTCATGGTCCACTTTGTCCTCCAGCAAGGGGATATGTACAGCGCTGTGGTTCTCTGCTCCTCCTGATGCACTCGAGTAGTTGGAAAGGGAAGGGATGTAGGAGTGCTTAGAATTGCTAAAAGAAAGAGGCCTGAGATTCAGCGGTTTCCTCTCTTTAAGATGGAATTTGTTAATCCTTAAACACTGCTCTTGAGTCGGGGTCAATTTGCCTTCTGAGCATGTTCGCTCCACATAGTCAAAGCACTCACTGGTGCTCTGCGCCTTCTGGTCCACGTCATTGAGGGACTTGGAGAATTTCAGAGTGTGGGTGGGCTTTACATTCTTAGCAGACCTGAGCGCCTGGCCCCGATCCTGCCCACGGGAGTTTCTCTTTGCTGCATGTAACGTGTCCTGACAGATTACTGTCACAGTGACCCCTTGTGTCAGAGGGCTCTGGCAGTGAGGACTTTTCAAGACAACAGCAGACTGCACTGGACTGTGATGACAACACTCAGAAAACACTGCACTGGAACTGCATGCAGAACAGTGGAATAAAAGCACAGAAAGTAAAAAACAATTACATAACAGAACACATATAATTAAAAGTGAAGAAATGAGAATTACGGCTAGTGTGGGAATGGCGAACATAGCGGGGCCAAACAGTCAGTGGGATTCAACGAAGCAGTGTTAGACAGCAGTCGAGTCAAACAAATGGGATGCTTCATATGGGACCCCCACATCGCTTACTTCCCCATACACGTGCTTTTTCAGTTTTGTTTTCTCTTAATTTGAACCTCGCACAAGCCTCACTGCAGCCATGCAAACAACACACTTTACCTGCAGATGTCCTGGTTGGATGGTGTCACAGAAGTCCGAGAGAAGCTATGAGGGGCAGAGATAGAGGTTGGACTTCCAGCCTGCAGTGAAATTAAAACAAACAAACAAAAAAAAGCAAGTCACAAGTCGGAAGAGTTTGGTATGCACAGCAATCACCTTCAGGGTTAAACACAGCATATGGAGTCAGATATTCTACATGAAATATTCAAGGGCTAGTTGCAATAAAGTGGCTTTGTTGTCAAATGCTAGAAAGGGAGGGCACACAGCCTCATCCTTGGAAAAGTAGTAATCAGAACAGAAACGTTCTCCCCCAAGGTCAAATGCAGCCATCTCTAGAGCAGAACCTGCCAGCTGTCAAACACTGCACAGAACAATAGCTCCGTAAATGAGCAATGCTACAGTAATTAGAATAATTAGATGGAGGTGTGTGTATAGACTAGTCGGAATTTAGCTACCACATAATAGCTAATCCTTCCACTTACAACGATGACAAGAGATTAGAGGCTTGGGTGTTTTTTTCACAAGACAGAACCATCAGTAATTCAGTAACTCACACGCTATTTGGGGACTTACTTTCCGTCCTAGCATATGCACATAAGCACCATCTGCCAAACCAGACCATTCCCTGAAGTACTCTTTGTACTTTGTGAGGCCTTTCATCCTGCTCTTACTTTGACAGGATCTTCCACCTACTTGGAGAAGAGGTGTGGCAGCAGTCACATTCGTAAGACCCAACAAGAGCACAGTGAGAAACAGAGTAACTGAAGAATTCAGAATTCAGCTGAGCTAACTCAAAAGAATAAAGTTAAGCTCTTGGCAAATTTAACACTTAATAGACAAGCCTCTAAAATCAATATGGTAAGAACAATCATTGTCTCAGAGTTGGGACTCGATGGGCTATTATTATAGGCCTTTTCTGCTGCTATATTCTGTGGGTCGCTAACAGAAACTTCTCGACTCTTCCTAGAGGTTTTGGTGAGGAGACGGGCGTTGATAACCTCGTAATAGAGAATCTTTAAACCTGGTTCTCCCATATTCCACAGCTGCTGGAGAGGCTGTGCCGCTCACCCACCGCTGCAAAACACTGCTCTCATTTCAAAATTCAAACAAAAGTTTACAGCTCTTTTGATCTGCAAAGCGAAGCCTGAAACCCAGGAAGGAACAATGCAATCACCAGAACAACGGAACTGTCAACACCATGCTGGGCTGCACAAAAACCAGCACAGCCAGCACAGACCTGGGCCAGGCAAGTGCACAAAGCCAGACTAGGAGAGACCTCAGGTCATGAAAGGTGTGTTGCATGTTGCCAGAGAACCATGCTGTGCCCAGCCCTGTACTTCAGCTTGAGACGCCAGAGCTAGCTCAGTCATCACTGCTTTGATGATCTCTGGTCACGGGGCAACACACACGCACTGTATCTGTTGCAGGTCTCTTCGATTTTATACTTAATTTATTAAAAGTCCCTATGGTATATTTAAACAAGGCCGCTGCAGGCTTTTACACTCTCATAGCAAAAGCAAGGTTCCTTGTCACACAATATACTCTTACTTTGTGAGAGAAGATGGGTATACTAGAATACACATGCTACTTTATAAATACAGATACAACCACCATCTTCCGTGTTACAGGACTCATCTGTTAAGATTTTGTTTCTCTACCAACAGCACTACAGAGAGCAATGTATCTGGCCTCACACTGGGATGTCTCAGGTGCACCGAGCCTGAAAAAACAGGTATCTATTTACAGCTGGGTCTGCAAGAGTCGAGGGCAAGACTCAAACACACACCTCTTCATCCGTAGCAAGACACTGTAACTTATTTCCCATCCTACCCAGCTAGGTACATGTACAGAATAAAAACCAAGAGAATAACCTTGGGCCAGAAAGCAAACTGAACTATGTTATGACCGTGACAAAACAAATTAAAGACTTAAAGATCAATTATTGGCTTTATCCTGGAAACTATGGTTCTTTACATTTTACATCACCCTGCACATGCTAATGATATAGAATGCTGAACATACAGTAAGGTGAATTCAGGTATTACTTGGAAATTGGCTCTCTATTTGATGCTTAACCTGTCCTAAAAGCAGGTACATCTCTGACTTCAAATCCTATCTTTTAAAAAGAGTTTGTGCAGTAATTACTTTTTTTTTAAAGAAAGACCGACAAGTTTTAGCAGGGCCTGTTGCGACAGGACAAGGGGGAATGGCTTTAAACTAAAGGGGGTAGATTTAGACTAGATATAAGGAAGAAATCTTTTATGCTGAGGGTGGTGAAGCACTGGCACAGGTTGCCCAGAGAGGTGGTGGATGCCCCATCCCTGGAAACACTCAAGGTCAGGTTGGACGGGGCTCTGAGCAACCTGATCTAGTTGAAGATGTCCCTGCCCACAGCAGGGGGGTTGGACTAGATGACCTTTAGAGGTCCGTTCCAACCCAAACTATTCTATGATTCTATGATTCTGTAAGTTAGTGAAAGACCTGATGCACTATAATCTGCTGCTATAATTATGCAAATGAAAATTAATAAGACTTACATAATGAATTATTTAAAAAGACATATTTAGCAATCTTCTAAAAAACAAAATATTGAACCAGTAAAACAGCATGTTACATTCTGCCATGGAAACAGAGCCACACATTGTTGGAACTGAAGTCACAAATCCATTAATAAATCTGTCTCAGGTTTTATGTTATGAGCAAATCACAGAAGGTAACTTGCTTAAAATGAATCCAATATCTCTAGTCCTTTGCTTTAGCAATGAAGCTTTCCAAAAAAAGACAGCGATATATATGATGTGACAGTCTAATAGCAGATGACTAGATTCAATGATCCAAAATTTCCCTTCTGAAACCATGTTACCGGTTTCTTGATCCAATTGCCTGGCACCAAGACAGTATCAAAGTCTCGCCACTTGGGAAATCAAAAGGCTGTGACAAACAAGAAACTGTGGAATTTCATTTGCATTTCAAGCTTACTGTTCTGTTTCTAGATGCCAGCACTGTTCAGGACAGCTTGCAAAAACCCCACATCTGAGGCACATTTCCTTTTCCTCCTGTCTTCCTGCTTCAATACAAGAGGTCCTTTGCTCCATCTTTATACATAATGCAAATGCAACCAAAGTATGAACAGAAGTTAACGCACTTGGAAAGGCACCACAATTTTGGAACAACAAAACGTTGGAGGAAGTTACGCCCCACCCTTGGTTTAAGCTAACGTAAGCTGTGGCCACCACCAAAAGCCATGGTTCAATGAGCCTCCAGTCTCTCAGACCGTCCTCCTTTCCTCCCATGCTTTTTGCTCATGAAACTATTTCCACAGCTGCATTGCAGATCAGATTAGGATCGTGAGGTGAGGTAAAACTAACCACTTCTTTTACTGAGCTTTTTTAATGCCAGTCACTTCCCTAGCTTCAGCTGCTGGAGGAACCTCAGTCAGTTAGAGCAATGAGCCTCTAATGGTGAGGCACAACTCACTGACAAGAGAAGAGCATAGTAAAATGCAAGCTGCTGCCAAGAGACCAAGAAGTAAGTTCTGCCAGTCCTAGAAGCAGAGGTGCATGCAGCTGACACTCACCAGTCCACACAGCTCACCTGGATTTACTGACTCAGATACAGCAGCTATCAGGCAGAGAGGTGCCACAGAAAAGAAGCAGCACTGGAAGCCTTGGGCCAGAACAGGGCAAAGAAGAGGCAATGTGATGGGTGAATGCAACAGAAGGGTGGATCCAGCTAGCTCAGAGCTCTGACGTTGCTCCCATGCAAGGCTCAGCTCTGAAGAGGCTGGGAAAATAAGCAATCAAAGCCTTCACCACTCTGTAGCTTCTGGCACACACACCATCCTTAATGCCCCAGCAGCAGCCTCCCAAGTAGCAGCACCTTTGGTTGAACTGGCTACTTACAATGGTGACAGCAGTAGTCGGTTTTAAAGCACTCTTTGGCATAGGAGGTTTCTGCCATGCTCATTATGTGATGGGTAGCCCAAGCCTTGATAGCCTGAATTCAACCATTCTAAGCCCAGAATCACTTGCTGAATCTCTGTGGACTTTCATGCCCTTCACATTGAGAAATATCACCTCCGATGACAAGCCTTGGAGCTATGTGCTAGTGAGTTACTCTGTACAGCCAGGCTGGGTGCCTAAAATAGCTCAGGACTAAAGGTCAATAGTTAGTTAAATTGTGTATATTGACATTCCCATATAATGCAATTCAGTGAGGTCACAGTGTGACCTTCTGCACTGGTGTTTAGATTATCACAGCAACTCTGAAGGCAGCAATCCCTGGAAGCCTACAGCTCTCTGGAGGGTTGCCATCCGGAAGAAATATGTATCTTTTTACATATATACATATATGTGTGTGTGTGTATGTATGCATGCATATATATGTACATGTGTGTATATATATAATTTGCTGCCATAGCTGGTTGTTCTCATTCTGCCCCCACTCCATGAACAGTGTGATCTGTTGGTGAAAGAACTCAGCCTTTTCTGATTACCTACTTGTGATTACATGCTGCACACCAAAAACCAAAAAACCCACCCTGCCTCAGAAAATAAAGTCATCTTTGAAGTAAGCCATAGTGAACATGTCAATGGCTTGGGCATATTCCAAGATAACCTGCTTATCTGAGATGGCACTTCTGGGTACAGTTGCTGTCGTCTCACTCTGGCTGCACTTCACTACTAGCAATTATACCTCATTTTAAAGAACAGGGCCCATCACATTCTAAAAACCTTATTAAATTATTCATTGAAGGTAAAAAGTTAGAAACAACTTAACTCCAGAAGAACTCCTCCACTGATTGGAAGTCTGAAGGAAACAAAAACGTTTTCCCCCACACCTGCAAACTTCATAATTTCTAGGTATTACATGAATAGGAACAATACTGCGGCCCTACTATTCGTGCTACAAAAACACCTAGAAGTGTCAGCTAAGGATCTGGTACTAACATACTAAGCACTATACACATTTAATAATGGAGCACACCTCTCCTTTGGGCAGACAAAGGGTTAGAGAAAAGAAGAACAATTTTAAGTCTTTTACTCAGGAGGAACTACAGCACAAGGAGCTTCAGACAAAT